CTCTCTCTCTCTCTCTCTCTCTCTCTCTCTCACACACACACACACACACACACACACACACACACACACACACACACACACACACAGACGTTAGTTTTTTCTTCTTTTTTCATTTTCTTTTGTTTTTAGTTCGTATTGAGTGATCAGGGGGTGCCCGCACCCCTTCCACACCTCTCACAACCTCCCCTTGCCGAAACACCCCCCACCCGACGTGTTTCAACCCAGACACAAACATGTGAAAAGCGTTCACACGCGTTCAGTGAACTCGCGTTCAACGTGTTCAAAAACTGAATGCGGAACCCGCGTTCATTGAACGCGCGGTTACATAGCCGCGAAACCCTTGATAAATCGTCGGTAGTACGATGCCAACCCCAAGAAGGCTCGAACTTGCGTTAGCGACGTGGGCGTCGCGGCGTCTCGAACTACCGCGACCTTTCTCAAATCTGGCCGCATGCCCCCTCGCGTCACCACGTACCCCAGGAACGAGATTTCCGGCAGGAACAACTCGCTTTTCTCTAGGGCGATCTTTAAGGCCCCGTCTTGTAGCGCTCCAAGTGTCAATTCGATGTGCTGCGCATGTCCGTGAAACGATTCCGAATACACCAGGATGTCATCCATGTACACGATGACGTAGAAGTTCACCATTCCCTGCGTTAGCCGAGTCTTGTTAACGAAATTCTGAAAGGTCATGTTTATCGCCTTTTGAAACGTAGCTGGAGCGTTGCAAATGCCCATAGGACATCGAACCCATTGCCATGTGCCTTCGAATAAGACGAACGCCGTTTTCGGACGATCCTCTTCCTTCACCAATATGTAGTGGAACCCATGGCGGATATCGAATTTACTAAAGTAGTTAGCACACCTAATCGCATCCAACAAATCATCAATCCGTGGGAGGGGATATACATCTTTGATCGTGATGTCATTGAGTTTCCGATAATTGATGCAAATGCAAATGGATGCGGTCTTTTTAGGGACTAAAACCATGGAAAAGGACCACGGCCTGGTGTCGGGTTCGATCCAACCGTTGGCCTTAAATTCTCTGATTCGTTCTAGTAGGGCGGTTCGTCTTTTGACCAAGGAGTATCGGTATGACTTACAATGAATTAGCGGGTGGGCGTCAGTCTCGATCTTATGCTGTATGACCAGGGATAGTCCTATGTCCGTGTCCTCTGTACTAATTGCCCTCTAATATTCAGTTAGGATGTCTGCGATGAGTCTATGTATCTCATCCGACACATAGGCCGACACATGCAGTTCGTAGTGGCAGTCTCGTATCGCCACCGGTAGCTGTTTGGTCTTTGACCACGTGGGTCTTTCTCGTGGGTGGAGATGATATGAAGGAATGGTTGGAACGCCAGGAAAAGATCGTGGCAACCATCTAAGCTTCCTCTTCTCTAATTGCCACATGTTCCTGCGGGGTGATGTCATCCTGGATATCTCGGAGGTCCACGACCTTCTTCTCGATTTTTGGCCCAATATCGAACGGGGCAAGGTCATACAGCCTTGGGGGTTCCGAAGTCCAATTTTCGGCGCGCCTCTGTAGCAGTCGGATTTCTTTTCCTTTGGTGAGCAATAGACCGGGAGGGATTTTTTAGAGATCGTAGAAGGACTGCTTATCCTGATATCCGCGTAACAATGGGGTGGTTGCCTCGGACATAGTTCGAGGGGGATCCAAAGAATCGATCAACCGAGATATCTGGATAGGTGGTTCTCCCATGATCAGCGCTTTGGTTCGTTGCGCATCCCTTGTGAAAACGAAAGTTTCCGCGATTTTTTTATCGAAGTGGGTAGCGGATTCTTTGTCGTGTTAGCTCGAGAATTTGAGGATCTGCATCGTCCTCACTCTCGCAGGTGGACGATGGTAATGTCGGTTCGACGCCGGATTCGTCCGTAGATTCTTCCCACCTTATCATTCGTAGGATTTCGCAGGGGTCGTTGTCGCTCAAACATCGAGGTTGTCCGGAGGGTGAGGCGCATTGGGACAGTGTATGGCTTTCCTCCAGTATTATTGAGGATAATTGCTTGTCGTTCGAAATCTAGCGTGGCTCGTAAAGCTATGAGAGTAGGTAATCCGATGAGGACATCGTATTAGGACCACTACGTTGCCTAAGGCGTGGACTTTACCTATTCGAAAAACGACATTGGACATCCTTCCTTCAACTCGAATCTTACCTTCAGCGGCGGAAACAAAGTGATCGCCCTCCGCGAGAGGAATCACGTCTTTCTGCCGACCAGCCCGAACTGCACTATAGGGGTTTCCCCAGACTTCCATGTCACATTCCGCGGATCTCCATGGCAGGGCTTTGATCCATAGGAAGTGATCGTCTTTCCGAATTAGGCCCATCCGGACGTGTTCGGAGGTGCTTAGCTCCTCCGGCTTCGGATCTCCAACGAGAGTCTTTCCTTTTACGGTTGCCAATTTAGCGAGGGCAAATCGCTTCCGGTTTGATTTGGAGTGCTATAGCATCGGATCGCTAGCCTGGTCGAAGATGCTTAGCAAGTGTCCGATGGGCAAGGGGATGCGGTGATCCAAAGCACTGACTATATATAACACATCAATCTCTCTTGTAACGAACACGGGTTCTCCGGATTCCATTTCCCTCGGGGAGGGTCTCCATTCTAAAACTTCGTTATCGTCGGGGGCAGGTTGGATGACCCCTATCATGTCGTGCCCGGGTATCCCAACGATATGTACTGGTCGAGCAGGATAAGCTCTGCCGCTTCCTCCGTGACCACCGACGGGCTTACCCCGCTATTGGTTTCTTCTACCGTTGTGGCCATTCAGCCAGGTCCGTTAGTAATTGGTGCTGCAGCTGCTGGCGCGGTTCTTGTTTGCGTGGGACGGTGGGGACAGTCCCGGGCTATGTGCCCCGACTGATGACACGTGTAACAAACACTTACGTTAGCTGCCACCGCGCCCACTACTAGAGCGGGGGCTGCGCCTGACATTATTGGCGCTGCTCTGACGACAATAGGGCGCATTGATCTCATCAATGATTCGATCCGAGCACTGTGCTCACGTTGTTCCTTCTTACTTTCTTGCATTAGGCTAACCAATGTTCGAGTTAGTTCTAGTATCGTGTTTGACTCACTGGGCCTTGCAGGAGCTTCTGGAGTAGACGGAGGCATAGCCACAGTCGGTAATCCTGGGGTCGTGTCAGGTATCTTTCTCTTGGCTGCGACCTTTTCTAGGTAGGTGACCGGACCGGAGACGAAACCCATATTTTCGAATTTGTTCTTGAGCGTGGCCAACTCGGCTTTCACTCTGGCCAGTTCCGAAGAGTCTCCATCTTTTGCGTGATCCTCGCCTTCTAAGAAGCTAGCAACGAATTTCCGTTTCATTTCCTCTGCCCCATTCATAGTCTGTTGCATCGTGTGGTTGATGGGGGAAAACTGCTTCCGTAATTTCGCTCGCATTGCGCGACTACGAAGCCCATCGATGAATAAATCCCTCCCAACCTTCTCGTTCCTTTCAGATTTGACAAACAGTCCATAGAATCTACTACGATATTCTGTGACTACTACGATATTCTGTGACAGATTCGAGGGGCGTCTGAACTCGGTCCTTGATCATAAAGAAAGCTTGTTCGGGGTGGATATATTCGAACATGTTCAGGAAGTCCCTTTCAAAGGTCGGGAGATCTATCCAAGCGTACGTGCTAAACCAGTGATGTGCATCCCCTCCCAGTCGGGCGGGGATGTTGGTCCGAGCTTCGTCGTTATCGTATTGTTGTGCACGTAAGGTAGCTAACCATGCCCCAGCCAGATGGTGTATCGGGTCGGACAGATACAAATCGGGTGGAGCCATGGGTGCGCGAGCTCGGACGGGTGGTGCGGGAACAGGGGCCCCGCCTAGCTGTACGTTAACATTTTGCGCTTGATTGACGTTCATGCTGGTGGCCGACCGTTCGACCGATCAGTTTCGAGAGAAGGTTAACAATAGTCGTATTTTTTATCACCACTTCATGACACCCTTCATCACTTCAGGATGCAGCCTGCCTAAACAAGTGGTTTTCAGGGTCTTCCGACCTTTCATCGCTTCAGGACCATTCAGGTCTGAAAATCATGAATGGTCCTGAAGTGGTGAAAGCTCCGAAGACCCTGAAAACCACCTGTTTAGGCAGGCTGCATCCTCAAGTGGTGAAGGGTGGTTTTCATGGTCTTCAGACCTTTCACCACTTTAGGACAATTCAGGATTTTCAGACTGCCCAAAACTCTCACTAGACCACTTCAGGACACCCTTCACCACTTCAGGATGCAGCCTGCCTAAACAGGTGGTTTTCAGGATCGTCGAACCTTTCACCACTTCAGAACCATTCAGGATTTTCAGACTGCCAAAAACTCTCACTTCAGAATTTTCATTCCTGAATTTTCATCTACCCGATAACCGCTTGTGTTAGTTTCTAAGTACTATAGGATCGCGTCGCGACACGTTCCTCTGTCTAGCCTGCCCTCTGTTCGCCAGATCGTACTGTGCGACTTATCTACCCGCTTTTCTTGTGAGCTCGCCACATGTCGGCTCCGATACCAGCCTCACGCCCAGAGCGACTTCCTGATCGGAGTGGGACGGGGGCATGGAAGTGCGAAGAAGGGGGTGTACCAAGGATTTTAGGAAAGTGGGGGTGGAGTCTCAAGTCGGAATTGAGATCTCCTATGACAAGTTTCAGGGGTAAAAGCGCAAGAGGGGATATAACATAGAGTTCGTGAAAACCTAACAAAAAAAATTGTTAGGTTTGCACGAAAATTTTTAAAGATTCTGATAGTACATTTTAATAAATAGAAAAATAGAAAAATACAGGAACAACATTTTATGTGAAGTAAATTAACCACAAAAAATGAATAGAAAAATATTTTTTCAAAACCACTGGAAGTGGTGAGGAGAGAAGCAAGTATTTTTACAAAAAAATCACTACCTTGCAAAGCACTGTTTGTTCAAGAATCGAAATATCCCAATTTTTTTTAATTTAAAAAAACAAATTTATAGTTCTATAAGGTATGAAGCACGATGAAACTATTTGGGGATTTCCCAAACACGCACATATATTCTTTTATTCACGAAAACATTCTCTTGGATATGTTCCCTTATACATGGACGAATATATTGTTTTTTAGTATTTTTATTGAAATATTTTTTTATTTTTTAATTTTAAATTGTGGTTGGATAAGAATTTGAAGATGTAGTTGTTTGAATTCTTGTTTTACATAACATATATGTTTTGACTAGGATTTTACAGTAAACTTTAAAATGGATTATATTAATTTATAGTTCGATAAACTAGTTTTCACAGAACTTGGTTTTTACAAAACTGTTCAAAACGACTTATAGTCTAGGTTGTTTTACCGGACGTCCGGGACCCCCCTGACCGTCCGGGATGTCCGGCCGGACGTCTGGTCAGACG